AACAGTGCATGGACATTCATCTAATTATACTCTTATCATCCATCTGTGAATGGTTTGATAACTTATCATAGTTAAAAAAACCTGGACCTCTGCAACACCAGGCGTAACTCATGAGACAGTGAGACTCCCCTCCAATGACTCAAAGGCCTGTGATTTTCTGTAATAGTGATGTAATCTCTGGTTAAGACTGACAGAGGCAGGCTATGTGATTCTAGTGCTGTGTAGGAAGCGTGGCACCAAAGCTCAGTATTTGAAGTAAAGACTACAAGCTGAGTTAGCTGCTGAAGCAGTGGGGAAGGGAGGACCTCCAGAATCTAGAAGTGTTGTCTTGCAATAAATATTCTTAACAAAATGACAGAAAAAGATCTATTTTATACACATAAGAACATTCCAGGCTTACAAGTTCATCTTCATGGTTACTACTTAGTGCCAGGATTGTTAATGTTGAGCTACCTGCCTAACCTTAATTAGGTCAGTCTGGTAAGACTAAAATGTGCTGCTCTCGGTTCCTAATAATACACATTGTAAGACTAGTCATCGGTGCTCCACACTCCCTCCCCGCTCCCTGCCCATCCAACCAACACATGTATACACACAGTGCAGAGGGGAACAAAACGATATTAATAACAGGAAAAGTGGAGAAGAAGTTTCCCTGGAGAATAAGTGTGATTCTGTGATATCCCCATCTCTGTATAACCTCCTACATAGTATATGTTCCTGTAGTGATGGACCACAAATTGGGGTGGGAAGGTGGGAGCAGAGTGCAGTCTTGCTGTGTGGCATGTACCTTTTAATTGAACAAGTGCAAGCTCAGCAATGAGAAACTGTGGAAAACAATGCTGCATGCAGAGTGCTGCTTTCCACCCTAGACAGTGCAGGGAGCTGGAGCAGGGAACCATGCCAGTGTACCAGCCAGACTGGCTGTGCTGTTAGTACAGTGGTTTGGAAGCTGTGTAATGAGCTGATAGGTTTTAGCCATGTCTTACAAACTGCCATAGTCACAAAAAGGTTAAGTAATCATCTCAAGTTCACACTGAAAGGCATGGAGCTGTCGCTAGCTTCTTAATTTCATTTTAATTTATTAAAGAAAAGAATAATTGTTTAACATGAAAGCAGAGTAACTATATTTTGTTTCTTTTCTTTATATATAGAAACTATAACTAACTGTATAAGTGTATATATATAGTTACTCTGCTTTCATGTTAAATGTTTTTTCTTTTCTTTAATACTTAATGATTGTTTTAGGAAGGAAGTTGCCAATGAATTATAAGACAGCGTGTAACTTGATGGGAGATGGCAAGAGCTAAGAGAAATGGCATTTTTGTTTGTTTTATAGTGAGCTTTGGAGGGAACAGAAAATAGAGGAGCTCTAGCATGAGAAAAATCAATCTTTTGAAAGGGAGCCAGAGAAGCCTGGAGGGGAGTGTCTAACCTCTTGATCTTGTTATCATGCCACACAAATCTAAGAAATGAAAGAAAATTCCTCCTGCAGGCAGGATTACAGTACAAACAGGCAGAACTGTCATGAAACAAATTATAACTGGTCAGGGAAGCTCCACAAACCTTGTGCATATAAGACATCTAGGGGAAGAAAATATGCTACTATGAATATGCTGTGCTATGTACCTAAAAGCAAAAAGACCCATCGTACAAAGGTGTTTGTATGCAGGCAACTTTAATCATG